CATCACCACTGGCGCTGCCCAGGGACTGTCTGATTCCCTTATCACTCCACACTCCCTCATACTTTTTATAACATTACGCAGCTCCTCATACATCGCAGGAGGGACCTGCCGGTGCAGTTCTCTTATGGGCGTCTCATCAGTCAGATGGATTCTATGACGAATCAAATCACACTCACCCAGATCATTGTCATGCTTGGAGAATGACTCGATGCTATCACTGAACAATTCCTTAACTCTGCGTAACTGAGGTTTATCAATAGGTGACCCGGACAAGTGAAACCCAACGCCGCCCACTATGAATACAGGTGCTTCACCAACTATAGATTAATCACACCTGGTACTCTGGCAGACATTTCCAACCCTGCGCTAGCTTTGCCGATAACACTTCCCGGTCTGACAGCCACTGTCTTCGCTGTTGCATTATACAATCACACTGGTAGACGACGAGATGACTCACTCTTGCATTCTATCACTGTCACTAGGGGTCCCGCAAGTACTGCACAACTCAAACTTGGTGTTGGTTCTACAGCAACAACATACTAATCTCCTTTCGTGCCGCCTTTTATGTTGCAACAGACGACCTTGGCTTGCTCAGGTCTCACCATCACTGGTCTATTTGTCGAAATATGGACATCACCCAGCTGACCATGAGGACCCACAAAACGGTTACGAACTTCCAAGGTGTGCAAGACCTTTTTACCAGCTACTGACACTCTTGCACTCTGGACCTTATACACGGTTCTCCCAACCATCTGAAAACGCTTACACAGATCTAGCACATTCGTACCAAGAGTCAGTGGTACCCTTTTAGTATATTCACTATCAGGCACAACAAGCACCAGCGCATCATGCTTCTCTCGACCACCAAATATCCTGGCAGGTATCATTATACCCGCCTCGATGTACCCCAGGAAGGGTACGTCTTGTCCGCCAGCTCCTGTCACCTCTGAAGTCTCACTCATCTGTTGAATAGGATAGTCATGCAGAAACTTTCGATAGAAGCCTTCACCAACAGTCGTTACCTGAGAACCAGTGTCCAATAAGCAGCGTGCTCTTACTCCATTTACGTAAACAGTCTCTACAGGTGACGACCCAACAATACGTTTTCTAACCTGTGTTTGCACCAAAAGTGGCTTAGCATCTGGTGAACCTTGCAAGCTGTCATCACACCTCACCCTGCTATTCTCCTTATCATGTCTGATTCTTCTATTCTTTCGTGCCCGTTTCTCACAATGTGGTCTACAATTTGCCCCGTCACTGTCCTTGGACTTCCTCTCCGGACAATCGCGCATCACATCGACCTGTTCTTTGTCTGCGTCATCACACCCCTCGGTTATCTGCTGGTGTACCTTTATCACCGGAATTCGCTTCTTCTCATGATTCATATCAGCCCGTTCATGCACTTCCTGTTCTGCATTTCTCACAACTCGCAGCAATGCATCATATGATCTAGCTTCTCTGAAACCATGCCGCGCTATTTCTCTCACCTGGTCATCAGCAATTTTCCTCCAGAATACAGTTCTCAACGTGTGATCCATATCTTTATAAGCAAACCCACCACGTTTGCATACCATTTCTAAATCTAACTCTAGTCTGTTGCCAAAGTCTGCTATTGACTCGCCTTCCTTTTGGTTGCTATTACTGTAAAAACGTGCTAACAAATTGTCGACA